ATCACATGATATACTGACTAAAATCTTAAATTTACCGAAGATGATTTCCAAAATTCAAATTTAGCTTTTGATTTATTAGCTGATCTATAAATGATTAAATTAATGAATGAACATCCGTTCATGGATGATTCATTTAATCAATTTATTTCTTGTTTACAAACTAAATCAGAGTCTAATCCAACAGTTTTTAAAAAATATTCATTATTATCAAATATTTCAGCTAAATATATACAAACTAAATGAATCTCCTATTCGACCATTAGAAAGTTAGATTTAATACAATTAATAAACATTCAATAAAAGAATATTCAAATGAGGTACATTGTTGACAAAAGGCAAAGCACTTAATATCATAATATTTCGAACATTAGGTTTTGGTGTTCTATGAACAAAAAATAATAATAATAACAATAACGATGTTAGCGCATTTCGTACGGGACTAAAGTGTGAAACACGATGTAGCTGCTGTTATTAATCACAAGAAGATTGTTGTGTTCAGTTTAATTTAGAAGAGATTTCTTCATCATTCAGTTACTTGATGCTTTAGAAATGCGATAAGGAAGTAGTTAACTAGACGGTATTGAGACACGATCTTTAATTGTATATCAACAAAGCATATCACTGTCCCTAATAAAACAGAGAGACGTGTAGCTAAAATGATTCTCAATTAGGATTAGTAGGCTTCGAACACCTCAACGAAACTATTTGAATGAGGATCTGCAGAAAATCAAGACGGTCAAAACCAAATTTCTCGTATCTATTCGAAGCTTTTGAGAAAGATTCTTATTGAATAGAGCAAAATGAGAAGTCTTCAACCTCACTATGAACTTCCTTCATCAAACTACCTTTCGAGCTCTTCGTAACTCGAAAACAACTCAATGAAGGAAGTACATGGAAAGCTCTGTGACACCCTATTTTCCTCTATTAAATAAAATTTTTTTCTGAGATCTTAATCCAAGTAGTTCTGTTGAAATCTTTGGACCTACTGTTGCTTATAGAGAATTGTTTCAGCTACACAAATATTTTATATTTCACCATGCACTTCAGATTATGTTTCACAAAAATATAGTATCAGATTCAATATATGAATCATTTCTTATATGTTGTCAGCTGATTTCGATTTATTGAGTGTCGATGATGTTTTTGATCATTGGTTCCAAGCTTACTCGACATCTTCTAGCGATCGATTAAAATCTTGTTGATTTAACCGCTTTGTACATAGTTGTTGAAGACGATTTTTCGACTTTTAAATTTTGCAAATATGAAGATAAATTGTATAAAAATGTGTTTTATTTCTATGTCATTTTGTACTGTGATTTCAAAATAAGATGATGCAATAGACAAGATTTACATTCTATGATCGAAGAAGATTATTCCGAAAAGTGGATTAATCATCAAAAGAAAACAAAAAAGGATAATAACATATTAAATTTTCTGTTTTGAGTAAAAAAAACTGAATGAATTGCATAAATGATGGAAAATCCAAATGATGAACAGTTTTCATAAATGAATTCCAAAAGAAAAAAACAAAGAAACAAATAAATACGGAATTGAAAAAAATATTGTTAAATTCTTTTGGAAAATAGATCATATCAATCAAAATAGAGCGAACAAAAAATTCAACTTGTAACAATCATACACTTTTTGAGTGAGACGATGTTCATTTGATGAGTAGCAGAAAAAATTTAGCACGGTTTCACTTTCCGGATCTTCGTCATTTTTGCAACAGAAACCTGTAATTCTGCTCAGGTCACATGAAAAATCGACTTTCGAATTTAAATTTTGCATGAACATGAGATTCATTCTTTGGGCAAGTTGTAACTTTCCTAGGTTTTTTTCTATCCAGAAATATTGAATATTCGAAATATCCTGTATTAACTAATCTTGTTTAGAACTTTGTTCGAAGGAAACTACATGTTTTTATGTTGAAACATTCCGTAAAATTTTGATGTGTGGAGAACGAAGGTTCGGAACAACGATAGTGGGTCAGTCAACTTTTCATATTCTCATCTGATGTTTGTTCTTCGATAGATGGAAAAGGTTCTGATAGGATTTTATATAAAAAATCGATCTTGTCTTTTTAATATCTAAATTAAAAGCAAGCAAAATTTTAATGATATGTTCAATAATGTTCGGTGATCAACTTTATTGAGGAATTATATTGAACATCTAATTATATACTGATTTTGTTGATTGCGACTGTTTAAAAATGAGGAAAAAAGTTTCGTAATGGCATAACTTTAAGCCTTTTTCTTCGACAACAGCAAAACATATGAAGTTCTTTTCTCGAAAAATACTAAGATTTTCCTTAAGATAATTGTCGAGTACTTTCTTGCACCGAAGATGTTATATTAAATTTGACATACAAATGATATCGAAGAAAAATGAAAGATTCTCGCAGATACTTTATAGTATTTTTTCTGATGAAGGTGTTTATTTCAGCATGACTTATACTGTAAAGGCTTACAACAAAAATACTCCTTCCTGTTTGGCATATTTATTAGGGGAAACAGTGAATTTCGAAAATAGTTTATTAGAATTTTATGTCTTTTTCGTTTTGGAAATCTGTACTCAAGGAGTCAGTTCTAATTCAAACTTTCTCTAATATAAGCAGATGTTTGAAACTATTACAGACTGAAATCAATACAAAAATTTGATTTGGCTCATTTTGTTCTTTTATTAAAGCTAAAAGTTATTCAATTCAAAACCTAACTTGATAGCATGAAGTTAGTTCTACAGAATCCCTTATCTAATTACATACTCACATAGCAGAATAAAGACTGAAAATCTTTTGCATCATAAATGACAAAAATATTGATTTTGTTCTGTATAAACATCAATTAATGCAAGTTTAACTCAGCAATACATAAAGGAATAATTAATATCAAGACTTTTGTACTCTATATTATTTTGATAACTTTAGAGATACTTATAGAATTCTACACAATTGTGAAGCACGATAATGCACTCACAAACCATCTGCATTTTGAATGAAATTTCGAAACGAAACTGGCTCATAAGTTATTTTTCTCACATATATTGACAACTTTCGATACAAAAACGATACAGCCAAGTAAAACTCAACGAACTCTATCGAATACACTAAAAAAATTGCAGTATTTCTACACTATTCAATATTTAGTACTTTTCGTCTTCACAAACATAAATATATTTGTATATATTCTGCTTTTATTCTTAAAGAAAGTGCAACTTTCTTGAAAAAAGACAAAAATTCCGTAACGGATGATGTATTTAAACTCCTATTTGACACAGACATTTGTACTAAAAAATGGCTTGATATTCTGGAAGCTCATTAACAACCGTACAATTTTTGTCAAGAGTATTTATTTGTACGACATTTCATGTCGCAGCGAAATGAAAAACTTCTATTTCATCTTTAAAAAAAAAGCGTCCATTTTTGGAAATTCCGTAACGGTCGGTATTGTGTAAATAACTCATCTCTGACTTAACAGAAATCAATAAACTTTTAACTTATATAAGATCTCGATGATCTCTATTCATGATAAAAAATTCGTTCCGTTTGCTCTTGTCGATATGAAGATATAGGTTGAACAAGGGTAAAAAAATGAAATTTCACAACGCTTGACCATACCCAGTTGTTACTCTTAAGGTAAAAGTCTATAATGATCGCATTCATAATCGATCGCCATCAAGATGCCATGAGAAATGTGAAATAAATTCTAATGAAAATATTATGAGTACAAATCTGACAAACTTCTAAACTTTCGTCTCGCATATCTCTAAAACTTACATTCACTCTATTTTTCTTCGAAACAAAAACTGTAATATGAGTTGCACAAAAAACAAAAACAGTCAACAATTTTACCATCAATTGTTAATGATAATGGATTAATATCAAATAAACTTTGAATATCCCTTAATTGAATAAGTGCAAAATGTTTTATATCGGGTGTTTTTCTCATATATTCAAGACAATCGAAGAAAAACAACAGTTAAATGTGTTCATATTGTTGTTAATTCTTGTGAAAGTTCAATAACTTGAAATTTTTCTATTTAATCATAATGCACAGCAAGGAACTCTGACTAAAATTTAACAACAACAACAACAAAACATACTTAATACTGTTGGAATCGTTTTCTTACTCGATAATTATCAATACTATTAATCCAATGAATCAATTAATAATTAATAATCAATATATACTATTGATGTATATTTAAGTAAACGTTGAATAGGTCGTATCATTAAATGCAGGTAAATATTGTTTACCTAAATCAGTTTTGTGTTCACGAATCTATTTGAAATATTTTTTTTTATCTCACGTATGAATCTCTTCCATTGTTTTAGCAGAAAATTTTCTAAAATCTATTAGAAAAAAATAAAAGTTATATGAAAAATAATATTGGAATTGATTACTAAAAAATAGTTCGTTCGAAAATGAAAGTAATGCTGTGTACAGATGAGTTAATATAATGCAAGGAAATTAAACTAGTTCATTACTGTTGCAATCAAAATTCCACAATAGTGTCCAACAGTCTAGTGTGAAAAGAATTCCATAATTGTCTTTGAAAACTGAAACCGCCAAAGGTATCAAATCTTGTTAAGCTCGATATTGTTTTTCTAATCGTTTTATTCAACTGATAAACAAGCAGAAAAGAATTTATGCATTCTTTTTGAAAACTATTGTTTGATTGTTGAGAAGCGAGTTCATATTCAGACTTTACTATCGTATCGAACAATCAGACAATGTTTGTAGAAAAAGTATACATAGATTTTTTCTTCAGTATATGACGAGTAAAATCTTTGAAAAATATTGAACCTTTGGGACTGGATCATTTTATAATATTTTGTTTTTTTACAAATCTAATTTTTGTCATAATAACATTGTTCGAATCTATTAACAACAGAATATTTTCACAAGTAACTCAACAGACTTTATAAGTTTTTTAACTAGTAAAATATATTTCATCGAATAATTATCTGACTCGAATAATATTTAATAATATTGTAATTAAGATTAATTTCCTTCGATTTCTCTTAATTCCATTCTAAAAAAATAATAATTATGTTTTTTTAATATTTTGTTCTCTATGACAATATTATCATCTAATACATTCTTATTTTTATTAATATTAAAACATTTCCGACTTTAATGTAGTATTAATTTGTTCGTGTACATATGAATGATTATCTTCATATTTTTGTTTAATAATTGTATTGAATAATAAATCAAGTAATGGACTATCATCATATGCTAATGGTGAAAGTAATAATAACAAAAAATCTAACAGTATTGTTGTTGTTTGATTATTAATTAAATTAACTGTATATATAGATTCATCAGCATTACCCATCCATTAAACATAAACGTTCCCAAAAACCACTAAAATCAATGTTATACATGTATATTAGCTTAATCTTTTTTTTTCCTTTGTTGATGAATACATGCTTATACATGAACAATATATTGTCGATCTTGACGTGTATAGAACAGATACGTGGATATAAATAAATTTGTATCCAGAAGAATAATATATGTTGTTTCATTCATTTCGGTTGTTATCAATCCATCTAATGAAGAAAGTTTTTAAGTTAGGTGAAGAATAATTGAATAGAAAATCTTTTTATCTAAAATTTTATCGATAACTTAGATTTTTTCGATAGTTTATGATATCAAATCGACTTTTGAATATAAAGTATCTTAACAAAGAACCGATTGTTTTAGCTGAGATATGTTCTATTTAATTTTTCCGCTAATATTTAATCGGTTGAAAATTCATAAAGAACGATCGTAACTCGACTTCGGAAGCGTATTACAGTTTGTGCGACGTAATATTTTATATAACAAATAAGATTAATAAATAAATGCACATATGTAACTGTTGTAACTGATTATCATTAATCATAGTAAACAAATAAAAATAAAATAAGATTATATAATGGTTTAGCACGATATATTTAAATTTCATTTCGTTCCATATAAAACGCTGTCTAAAAAATTTATAAACAAATCATTATATATGTTAATGTCGAATAAGAAAACAGACAATTCCTTAAAAGATATTTTTCACAGATATTTCCATATGAAATAACATGTGTTACTTGACCACGTTAATTTTTTTCAAATAGATCCATCAAGATAATAAATAAAATCACTGACCTCTGTCTATATAACAAGAAAAAAAATTATTCAACAAAATACATGACGGTTGAAGATAAATGTTGATAGTATGAAGGTCGATTTCTTCTTAATATAGAGATAGCCTTTTTTTTTCTTGTACATGATAAAAGAAGTTCAGACCTAATTCTATAAATATCTTCATTTTTTTTAAATATTAAAATAAACAATCAGCAAACGAATTTACAATCGAACGATGTCATAGACGTTGAGATAATAAAACTTTTGTTTCGGTTAATGTATATATTATTTGTTGTTCATCACTAAAACATTCATATACCAAATAATCTTCAAGTAATGATTGGAATCAGTGATTTGAACAAGCAGAACCGGTGAAACAAAATATGTAATTCCTTCAAATAAAAAAAAGAAATATATTTAAAATAAAAACAACATATCATATGACAACATACCTTACATGTAAATGTATGTTCGTCTACTCTGTACATCCACTGAACATGTGAGAGAGAGAGAGAGGAAAGAAAAAAGAAACAGGTCAAGTGAGGAATTTTCTTTTTTTCTTCTCTCGCCCATAAGCCATTGTTCATGTTATCATTGATGATCAATGATAATACGTTAAATTAAAGTGTGAAAAAATTAAGCTTTATCCACACATATACATTGAGATATTTGTGAATGAATTTATCTCAATATATGTGTGTGTCTAGATTAAAGCTTAATTATATACGTCTATTAATCACACACTAAAAAAAAAAATAATTGAATTTTTCTCCCAATAACTTTTTCGGGAGTATATATACGAATGATTTTCTATGTAAAATCATCCAATTTATTGAATCAAATAATAAAAATTTTTCTTTATGTTTTAGATCAATATCGACGATACAAAACAATACAAAACAATACAGTACAATACAATAAAAAAAGTGTAGGTATTAGTTTTAATTTTCTTTTTTTTCTTTTGGATCATATGGAGAGTGGTAAGTCTCCCATTGATCTATTTTATGTTTTGTTTTTTTATTTTAGCTATTAAATAATCGAAGTAAATAAAAACTTTTTTAATTAGTATTTTTTTTCTTTTCTTTTAGGTCCAGTTAGATAAACTAAAGTAAGTAGACATTTTTTATTTAATGTATTCTTTTTTCTAATTTTAGGTAATGGAAAGTCACTAGGAGGGATAACAGTAGGGTAAGTTATTCTCTTCTTTTCTAAACATATATGATTAAATAAATTTTTTTCTTTTTAGTCTCTCATCGCGTCGCGTCCTCAATAACAACATCGTCGTCCAACATCAAAACAGAGTGAGTAAGTATTTTTTTTTCTTTTTTGAGAAAGAGGATAGGGTGAGAGGGAGGATGAGGTTAGATAATGATATTGAGATTGAGGAGAGCGAGGATGAGACTCAGAAAAGTGAGTGTTAGTGAGAGACGAGGGTGAGTTCTGTCCGTTGAGGGTTAGGGTTTCGTCTCTTATGAAGGACTTCCGGATAGTCCCTAAAAGCTCGGCCAGGAACTGTCTTGGTGTCCGTGGCACACGACCAGGATGGTTCCTGGTCGCGCGCGCGCGCGAATAGAATAAGCCATTCATTTCATCAATCCAATGCGATTTATTTGAAACGAAAGGAACGCAAGAAATATAATCCATCGTTTTGAGTCTATTCGATTGAAAAGCGTTGAACACGATGATTCGCCAAAAAGACGACATAGAGATTGCCATGTCGATCGAAGGACAAACCGAAAGGAACACCCAACTGGTAATTTCCATCCACAATGACAGTGCCCTGTTTCGCTCCTTTAGGCCAGCGCATCACTCGATTATTCTCCGTGTCTGCCACATAGATGGTACCCAATGTATCGACGAACAGCCCATTAGGATACGACAATTGTCCCAGAGCATTCCCTTGTCCTTGACCTCCAGTGACGACAATTCCTTCTTTTGCATCTTTATTCCATTTCATTACACGATGATTGTCCGTGTCTGACACGTAGACAGTCTGTTGTTGATCGACAAAGATGTAGGTCGGAAGGTTGAGTTGATTGAGACCAGCACCTTCGCCATTGCCACCAGCCACAATAGTTCCATTCTTGTCTTCTATTTGATATCGGCTTACTTCATGTTTTTCGACGTCAGAGATGTAGAGATATCTCTGATCATCCATGGCCAATGCGTAACAATCGATGCTGTCGATGAAGATTTCTCCTTGAGTTGTACCACTACGACGAGACCATCGTACGACTCGTCGATTCCATCGATCACAAATAATGAGACTATCCGTCTCTTTATCGATCAATATAGCGGTTGGTCGATACAATTGATCCAATCTATTTCCTCGGCCATTGCCACCCGCTACTACTTGTCCATTCGTATCACCCGTCTTCCATTGGATGATACGATGATTGTCGAAGTCAGCGATGATCATCGTTTGATCATCATCAACGAAGAGACCATGAGGATGAAAGAGTTGATTGGTGGCATTGCCTTGTCCATGGCCTCCAGCAACAGTCACCCCATTCTGTGCCCATCGGGCATCAACTGGAATATTGGGAATTACTACAATGAAGGAAAAAGAAAAGGAATCGTCGTCGTCGAAGAGATCCTGTCTCTCGTGGAAGCAAGCGCTAGAAATATGACATTCATCTTTGAGAATGCTCGTTTCGCAGATAAAAATTCAGAAGTCTTTTCCTAGTTTCTTATGAGAAAAAAAGGATTCGGTAACGGTTCTTACATCTATGTTACTTCTAGTTTTTGCCAAGATCTTTTTGATTCTAAAAACAACACCTTGAGATTACTGTAAGGAGGTTCTCCAAGAAAGAGTAATACTAATACCATGTAAGTTTTTGATAGAAAAACATAAGGATCTGAGGATTTTATTCAGAATTGCAAGAATTCAGAATCTTTTTGTAGGATGATCATTTATATGAATATCAGAGAAGAATTTAAGTAATGAAATAATGAACTATGTGAAACTCCTAAACTGAGAAAATTCTGAGAAGATTCTATCCATATCTTGTTAGGAGCATGTTGAACAACAAATGTCAAATGTAATTTTGTATGGTTTTGTAGAACCTTAAGGATTCAGTATGTATCTTTGAGGATGCTTTTCGCATCATTTGGTGACTGATGAATGCAGATCTGCCGAAGTATCTCTTAAGCTTTGCATAGAGTATGCCGGTGAGATTTCACTAAATTTTTGTCAACTTGTATCAACTCAGGTCAAAAAATCAGATATAAGATCTTGTGGACCAAACGAAACCGTATGAAAAAATGTACGAAAAATCGCAGTCTTAGAGATCTTATTTTATATCGTGTTATAAGATTCTTGAAAGATCTTACTACCTTGTAAGATATCACTATAAGATTATAGGAAATCTCATGCGATGGTAAGATCTTTCAAGAATCTTATCTCAGGTCAAAACAATAGATGTCAGATCGTAGCAGGTCTTATAAGATCCTGTATGATCTGTCGTGTTGTTTTATTCGAGAATTGTTGATTCAATAGTTTCTATTATAAAGAAATGTACAAAATAGATAAAATTGTCTTGCGCAAGTCAATGTTTTCTATTAATGGAATCGTAAAATCATATTTGATTTCACAAATAAATGCTTTGTATAATAGATTAGTCGAAGTACAGATATATCTCTGAAATTTTCACATAATATAGAACGTTTTCCTTCACAAAATATTTCGACAGAAAAAATATCGATGTCGACATCTTCCTAAGACTATCAGGAGATGAAAAATAATTTTTTTTTCTATATATCCTCTACTATATACTGGAACATATATTTTTTTTATTCCTTATTTTTCTATATTGATAATATAGAAAATAATACATTAATTAATTTTTTCTACTATATGCCTGGCAATATTTTTCTGTTTGTTATTTGTCTATATATATAATACAGAAAACGATATAATATTTGATTTACTCAAAACTATGTGCTTGTATATTAATGTTTTATTTCTTTTTTATGTATCTTGATAATATAGAGAATATTATATTATTTCACTTTTATACTACTATATGCTTAGGCATCTATTTGTATTTTCTTTATAGCGAATATATAGAAAATAATGTTTTATCTGTTATTGTCCTATATTGATAATAAAAAATAATTTATTTTATTTGTCATCTTTCTATATAGAGTAAGCAGGAGTAAATATAGAAGACAATGCAATGGTTTTCAGCAAAATGACTATAACTTTTTTAGTTT